GTCAGAAGGAGACTGGAAGAATGATGACCCTCAACTACACTTCAGGTCTGGAGCAGAACTCACCCTTGTGGCCCAATTTTCAGCCAAGCAGTGGACAGATGTATAGCTGGGACAACACCACTACTAAGGTCTGCTCACCATGGAGTGGTCAATCATTCAAGATCAAAAGGGCGGATGAGTTCTGGTAAGACGATGGACTAGGCAGATGCACTACACAGACCCTCAACAACAAAGATCTGAGGGACCAAGTGAAACAGACGCAGATGAAAACCCTGGAGCCCTAAGCTTCAGAAGACAGTTTAAAGAAGTGGGGTGAGTGCTTGCTGGGAAGAGAGGCTGAGCAGGGACGGTGACAGAGGGAGCCTGATTTGAACGGCCAGCCAGACTTGGCATGAGCATCTTGTGGGCAGCACAGGCAACAGGAAAGATGTGATTATCCCTCCTTTTTCTCCACATTCCCCTGGCAACCAGAGTAGACCAGTTAATATCACTATTCTTCCAAATTTACATACCAACTAGTAAAGCAAGAGATGATGAAATGGAAGAATTCTACCAACTTCTTTAGTCTGAAATTGACAACCACACAATCACGATGTATTTATAATCACTGTTGTTTCAAATGTGAAGGTTGGAAACAAAGAGAAAGGATTCATAGTTGGAAAATATGGCCCTTGTAACACAAATGATGCTAGAGGTCGCATGATAGAATTTTGCAAAACCAGTGATTTATTCACGGTAAATACCATTTTTAAAATAACATAAAAGGAGATTATACACATGGATGAAATACACAGCAATCAAATTGACTGTATCTGTGGAAAGATGCAATAGAAGCTCCATTTGTTGTTGTTGATGTGTGCCTTAGAGTTGGTTCAGACTCATAGCGACCCTGTACAGGGTTTCCAAGGCTGTAATCTTTACGGGAGCAGAAAGCCTCATCTTTCTCCCACGGAACAGCTGGTTGTTCCGAACTGCTGAGCTTGCGGCTCAAAGCCCGATTCGTAACCACTACGCTACCAGAGCTCCTTATCATCATGCAAAACAAGGCTGGAGCAAGTTCAGACTGACTCTGAAGAATATTGAAACAAGTCCACAGAGCCAAAAAATGACCTTGACCATATCCCACCTGAATTTAGAACTGATTTGATGCATTAGGCACTATAAGACCAGAAGCGCGGTGGGATGACATCAAAAATATCATACAGGAAAAATACAAAAGATAATTAGCAAGACAAGAAAGAAAGAAAATACCAAAATGGATGTCAAAAGACATGCTGAAACTTGCTCTCCAGTGTAGAGATGCTAAAGCAAATGGAGGAAATGAGGAAGTAGAAGAGCTGAACAGAAAATTGCAAATGGTGGCTCAAGAAGACAAAGTCAAGTGCAAATGTGCAAAGTGAAATGTGCAAAGGCCAGGAGGGAAGAATACACTCA